CCCCCCCCCTCCCCCTTGGTGCCTCCTGGGGGCACTGGGTCACTTCCAGGCGTCGGAGCACCAGCGGGCACGTGGGGATGCGGCATCTTGGGGAGGGGAGGAAGAGGAGGGGTCCTTCCTCCTTATGGGGTGATGGGGACACACAGAACATCTGGGGATGGGGGGGTTGGGGGCTCCTCTTGGCCCTATCACAATTAAGGGAAAGGAGCAAAGCTTTGGGTGCCCCAGTTCCCCCACTGTCACACGGCTGCTGTCACCTCCCTGAGCACGGGGACACTGGGACAGCACGCAGCTCCACGCTGGGACCCCCAGCACTGAGACAGACGACAGCCAACGTGATCCTACAGCGAGCTGGGGGGGTTCTGAAAACCAATTCCTGCTGCGGGAGAAAGCAGAGCTCCCCATAACCCCCCCCCCCCCCAGCACCGCTCCCAGGGCTGCACGGGGCTGCGGCTTCTGCTCCCCAGCTCTGCTCGGCACGTGCCCAGCAGCAAGGCCACCGGGTTGGCAGTAACCATGGCGAAGGCAGGGCTGCTCCCCCAGCAATGCGCTAACGAGCACGGCCTCCGTCCCGGTGCCAAAAGCAGGGCTCTGCCGACGGGAGGGGGGAGGGAAGGAGGGAGGCTGTGCAGCCCCTAAAGCCCCAACAAAGGTCAGGGATCCGGGAACGGAACTGGAATGCCGTGCAGAGGCCGAGCAGCTGCAATCGTGGGCCTGCGTTCTGCCAAAATAAGCATCCTCTGCCCTGGTGCTGGGGATTGTGCTTCCCTGGAAGCGCAGGCAGCATCCAGGAGCGGAGCTTCACCCATCGGGAGTACAGGAAACGGGGAAAGAAGCGCACAGACAGCGGGAGCTGGGGAGGTTTGCTCATCATGCAGCATCCCCCGGTTCCTGCGGCGTTGCTCCGAGCCCAGGCTGTGCAGCAGGGATGCAGGGCGACCCGCAGGCCGTGCCCTCGGCTGTGCAGCTCCAACCCTTACGCAGCTCCGGGTGACGGGACGGAGCCCCCCCTGCAGCCCCGGCGCCCCATGCAGGCGGTGCAGGCAGCCAAGGCCGGCGCAGAGAGGCTGCCCTGGCAGGCTGCAGAACCCGAGCTCCAAATCCATAATTCCTCTGGCACCCCGCGGTTATTTGCGAGCTGCTGTGAGCAGATGGAGGAGTTGCAGATAAAGCCATCCGCAGCACGGGAGCCGCTCGCCTTCCCTGCTCAGTGCCGCGTGGGCAGGGGGAGAAAACATAAAATAATAAGGGGGAAAAGAAAACCAAGGCAGAAAAGGGAGAGGGAGAGAGAGAGAGGAAGGAGATGGCTGGCCATTTGTGCGGGCTGAGCTGCCATCTCGCACACCTCCATAGGGAGCACCGCAGCCGTGCCGGGGTGACATTGGCACTGCCAGGCGGGGCTGAACGCTGATGGGAGCTGGCAGCACGTCGGTCCCGGAGGGGGGACGGAGGAGAGGAGCTGACGTCAGCCGTGGGAAGGACAGCAGCCCACTGGGCAGAGGCTGCGGGGTGCTGCTCACACCACCTCCAAGGAGAGAATTAAGCTCTGCTTCGGAGACCGTGGAGTCGGAGCTGTGATGTGGTGCCCAGCGCCGTGGCAGAAGACACACAAACATCAGACGGGGCTGCGGTGCCAAGGCACGGCCCAGCAGCTCCCGGCAGCTCCCAGCAAGGGCGCAGGGCTGCAGAGCACCAGCACACCATTCATCTCGCCGCTGGGCTCTGCTCCCCACGCACAGCTCAGCCCTGCGCTGCCACGAGGCCCCTCTGCTTCCCCAGCTGCCCCGCACCGCGTGCTGCTCACACCAGGGCTGCTCCCCCAGTGCGACGTGCAGCCCTGCAGAGCAAAAGCAAAAGCACTGAGGCAGCCCCAACCATCACCGACTGCAGCTCCCCGGCTGCTCGACACGAGATGGAGCCCACAGCCATCGGGACGCAGAGCCCAGAGCTGCTCCTTCCCTGCCCTGCGTGCCCCAGCACGGGAGAGGGCTTGCTGGTTCAGAAGCTGGCGAGGCCAATTAATCTAATGAGGTTTTGCAGCCAGGGACCGTTGTCAGCCAGGAAAGGCACAGCGCCGCAGAGCGCGCGGGGGGCTCTGGGAAGCTGAGGGATTTGGCACGGCGAAGCAAGCAGGCAAAGCACGGCGCTTTTGTCGCTCGCCATCCAGCAGCAAGAAGGGGCTGACAGCGAGCCCAGGAGGCGCACCTGAGCGCACAGGGACCTCGTGCAGCCGAGGCGGAGGCGGAACCCGAGGGCAGAGCGCAGCTCACGGCGCACGGAGCGAGGTGCGGCTCCACGGCGCTGCTTCTGGATGGCGGCTCTGCCATGCTGAGCTCCCTGCCACGGGCTCCAGCAGCAGCATCTCAAAGGACAGCCCAGCCCCGCAGCGCAGGGCTCTCGCACGGCTCTGCAGGGCAGCAGGAGCGGCAGCTCAGCACGCACCGCCCCTGCGGGCGCTACAGGAGCGTCGCGGCTCCCACAAGAACACACGAAGGCACCGATGGATAGAAAGGTTTTTTTTTATCGAGTTCGAGGTTTTAAAAATAAGGACCGTCGTGGTTTGTTGGCTTTGTTTGGTTGTTTGGTTTTTTTTTTCTTCCACGTCTACATTACAAAAAAAAAAAAAAATAAAAATAAAAATTGCAATCGGGATCTTCATCATCCAAGGGGTTGAAAGTGGCAGCAGGAAAGCCCGGCTTACACCAGCCGTGCCATCAGCATTTGCTCTGAGAGGGGAACAACCGAGCCCAGGGAGGCAGCGCTCTGCTCCTCAGCTGGTGGTTCTCCCTCTTTTTTTATCCTTTAAGCAGAGTTTCAGAGCTGAAACTCCTTTGGTCTGAAGTGAGAAACCCAATTCCCCCCCAGCGCCCTGAGAGCATCGGTCCAACGCCGCCCTGCTCTGCAGCGCCCCGGCCACACACAGCACAGTTCTTATAAATATATTTATGTCATATAGGAAAAATAAGGCACTTTGGAAGGGTTACAGCTCGCCTAAGACATTCTAAGTAGGAAGAGAAAGGAGTTAGTTTCTGAAATGGATTTAAATGAATGTTAATACGGTAATAAAACCCAGCGAATCCGCTTCCCCACTTCAAGGCTTTGTTTAAAGAAATCAAACAGGAGGGGAATCAGCAGCCCCGAAACGCAGCAGCACGGAGAGCTGAGCTGGGGCAGCAGCACCTGCCTGCGAGGGGCTCCAAGAGCACAGCGCCGCGCCTGAGCTCACGGACAGAAGCGGCCCTTCCCTGAAACGACACCGTGCGGCTCCGCATGGCACCTCGCACAGCCCCCTTCCCCTTCCCTCCACGCGGGCCGGCGCTCGGCTCCGATAAGGAGAGCAAAAAGCGGTGAAGGTCACCGGCTGCAGACGAGGCTCCAGGCTGAGGCCAGGCAGCGGGGACACAGCCAGCCCTGTGCGCCAAGGAGGGGCGCTGGGGGAGCGGCTGCCAGCAGCAGCAGCCGAGCACTGCGGGCAAAGGCAGCGGGAGAAACGTCTGAGCAGGGGAGGGGGGCAGCGGCGGCCCCAGCTCCGTGCAGACCCCCATGGGGGCGGGCAGAGAGGGGAGGCCCGCGGCGGCCAGCTCTGCTTCTGGCCGTGCAGAACGCTCGAGGCTCTCGGCTCCGGATGCAAAGATGAGACCTTTGCAAAGAAGCAAAGATGGCAGGAGGAAAGCGCGGGGCCTGCAGCACCGCACAGCTGCTCTGCTTCGCAATGGTTGTTTTTGGCACCTCTCCTCCTCCCCTGCTGGGTTCAGAAATACGAGGCTCGCTCAGCGGCCCGGCGCTCTGCAGTTCTGCAGCTCTGCTCACAGACGGGCACCTCGCACCCGTTGCTTTGTTGATCTGCAATCCCTGCGCTCGGGATCCTGCAGTTCTGCCTCCCTGCAGTTCTGCCTCTCACCCCGGATCTGAAAGCGGCCGTGGGTAAAAGCAGGCTTGCACAGCCAGAGCTGCACCCCTCCTGCTGCCAGCAGGGCTCCAGAGCAGGGGAGGCATTGCAGCCCCGTGCTCCACCCGCACAGCATCCCTGTGCCACAGGCGTGGGCTGACCGCTCCCCAGCGCCCCGAGGCACAGCCCTGCCCCACACGCCGGGCTGCGAGGAGCGTGGCATTTCTCTGCATTTCACACGACACCAATAACTCGCTCCCCTTTCCCAACAGGGGGCCAAATCTACTTAAGGCAATTTAAAATTAACCCAGGTTTGGCATTTGTGAGCTCCACGCTTCCCTGTGTGATAATGCTGTCAGCCTGGCTTAGCTCAGAGGTCTGTTTCCCCCAGGAACCTGTCTCCAAGAGAAGCCAGAGGAGGATGCTTACAGAAGGAGCAGAAAAACAAGAGGCAGCGATTCTCCTCCAGCCCCCCTCACCCAGCGTGCAGCACTGATCACTTTGCATTTCCAAGTCCCTCCGCTGCACGACGGCTCGCTGGCACTCGAGGGGTTTCCTTCCCTCTTCCAGAACCTGCAATGAGCGCCGCTCAGATGTTCCCAGCCTGCTGGGATGCCTCGCTCTGTCCCCTGCATCCTGCTCTGCACAGAAATGTAATGGTGGAGAGCCTGGCCTGATTGTGCTCAGGGCTGAGCCGGATCTCAGCCTGACCCACAGCGCAGCACAGCCCCTCCTCCACGCCCTCATCTGCTCTGGCACACATTAAAAATGCACCAACACACGCGAGAAATCAGTAAGAACTCGATGGCACAAACTGAAATCATCAATCAAACCCCTAAGAAAGGTTTTCAGCAACCCAGCAGCCTCCGGCTGGGCCTGGCGCCCCAGCTATCAGCAACACCACGAAACAAGGCGAGCTGGAGAGGGAACAACAGGCACAGGCTGGCAGAATACTTGACAATTAGAAAGGCAAACAGGTTGGAGATTTGGTCTTAATGGTCCCAGCCCACAGCAGCCTGAGCCACAAGGCTTTGGAATCGCTTTCTGAGACACTTGTGCTCAAATTAAAATACAACAAGCACATCTGCAGCACTGGGAGATTTGCTTATAGATTTCCAAGATATGCATATATTCTATGTAATATAAAACAGCAGTAACACCTAGGTCAGCTAGTTCAAGTTCTCCATTTTCTTCCCCTGCCTGTAGTGAGCAGCCTAGGAATCCGCAGGGTGAGCTGGGAGAAGAAATGTTCTTAAAAATTAACTAATCAACTACAGGAACAAAACACGGGGAACAACACGGGTGAGGTGTGATGGAACCAACGGGCAACTCAGCTCACACACACGAGGCGGTTTGAGGCACAGGACCCCCCTAATCCTGAAGTGAAAGGGAGGAGGAAGCCAAAGTAACACCAGCAATTCCTGCAGCAATGCTCTCTGCAAAAGCGTGCTCGCTGCAGGAGAGAAGCAGCGATACCAACTGGTCAAACAGGGCCTGGTGCTCAGAGCAGCCCTCCCCGCTGCTTCCCTGCTGTAGGCACTTCTGGGTTTTGCTTTGTTTCTTTCGGCACGAAGCGGAGCCGTCAGCTCTGCTCTCCCTGCAGCAGGAAGCCAAGCAGCCGTCCTGCTGCAGCCCTGCATCCCTTTGTGCAAGGCTCCCTTGTGGCAAAGCAGTCCTGGAGGTTGCTGAGGAAGGTAAAGGCAGCTTTAAAAAGGAACACACACCCCTCCTCTCATTGCACCCGATGCACGCTGCAGCCCTACAGCCAGCAGTGCCCCCCTGCAGGGGTAAGTCTGGAAATACTGAGGAGGGTCAGAGGGGAAGGAATTGTGCACTAGTGCCGAAAACTGATTATGTGACAGTGGGATGCAGCAGAAAACAGACATTTAAAGCCCGTCTTCTTGCAGCACTACCAGTATTCACTGGAAAGGAAGAGCCACTAGATCAACTGCCTGCTGTTGCAATGAGGAAACTAGCTGAAAACGTCCTTCATCTGAAAGGCCGCGCGGCCACAACAGGATCATCCATCTTTGCTTTAAAAATCCCTCAGGACGGAGGGGTTTTGTGTGCTCTGCCTGGTGGCATCGAGGATCTGGAGGTTTAGTTCTCTTAAATAAGCAACCGTTGCACTGCCTCCAGCCAAATCCCAACGCCTCCATCCTCACTGCCTGCGAGGAGACCTATTGGAAAGGCAGAGCACAAAGTCCTGCCAAAGCCCGGGGGGGAGGGAGAGGGGAGATATGCTGGTGGTTGTCTGAAAACCCTTGGCACATCTTTGGTTACGGGATGAAAAGGAAACGGTGGAAGGTTTGGCCACCTGGTTCTTTAAGAAGCTGTTAACCCAGGAGGGAAGGGAACCGAGGGGACGGGGCCGTGGTTAATCCGACCACTCGTCCTCATCGAACTCTGAAGAGTCATCCTCAGAGTCGCTGTACTCCACGGCGATGCGGCGCGACAGGATGGTCGCCACGTCGTTGCCCACAACGTCCCTCTTCTCCTGCTCCCGCTGCTCTTCCACCTTGCGGAGCTGGAAGCCTGTTGGGAAGAAGGCAACGGAGGGGATCGTTCAAAGGCTTTGGTCACGCTGAAATCCCCAAGGCAGCCGTCCCTTTGATGAAATCCTCTGAGCAAGACAGCCCCTACTCTGCCAGCAAGTATTGGACACGCTATGGAATAACAGTGATGGTGAATGACAGCCAAGACAGGCTGGGTGGGCAGGTGGAATGGGAATTGAACGTTTCTGCGCTCCTCCGAAGGGTTACACCACTGTCATTCAGCCCACTTTGCAAACTTGGACCGCGGCAGATCTGGCACCGCCGTCTCCAAGGAGCAGGCAGAGGCACACAGCCACGAGGCCATCATCTGGTTGGGCAGACAAGGAGACAGCAAGAAACCTCCAACAGCGGGGCAGCCGCAGCCCCGCTCGTGAGGCAGCTCCCCACGCTCTTGCCCGGCACACCGTGGGTATTCCACAGGCTGTGGAGCAAGCTGGAGCTGAGACGCAACCTTACCTTGACGAATCGCCGAAAGCAAATCGCTCCTGGCATCGCTAACAGCGGGCAGGGATGACTTGGGCTTGGAGGCGGAGGTGTCTGAGGGTGGAGGCGGCGCCGGGGGCCCATCGAGGCCACTGGAAGACAGAGGCGGGGGGCCAGGAGGCGGTGGGGGGGGTGGGGGGGGCGGTGCGCTCCCACCGCCCGGCTGGGGCAGAGCAGGGGGCTGCACGCTGCTGTATTCGGCCGCCGGAGGGGGCGGCGGTGGAGGCGGGGCAGCAAAGTCGGGGTGAGGTGGGAAAGAGGGGGGAGAGGGCGGCGGCGGGGTGCCTGGGGATGGGGGTGGTGGAGGAGGGGTGCTGCCCATCATTGGTGGTGGTGGAGGCGGTGCTGGAGGGGGAGCAAAGCCCGGCCTGGCCCCCGCGGGGGATCCGATGGGAGGAGCTGGCGGTGGGTGGCTCGGGCTGACCAGGCTGGATCTTTTGGTCCCTCCAGAACCAGAACCTCTTTGGTTGTCTACAGGATAGCTGTTGCAAAAGAAGGAGAGACAAATAAGGCCGTTAGCTTTGAGGTCAGACCGTACAGACTCCATGTTAATGAGAATCATGTGTGTCTGTTGCAGCCCAGACAAAAATCTGACTTCAGCTTCAGCTGGTGTTTCCATGAGACCTCGCTCCTCAGGTTTTAGTTTTCTTGCAGGGTTTCTTCTGGCCACCACCACCAGAACAAAGGAGAGCTTCTGGGGACTGGCAGCAACGCTATCATCTGTCCCATCTCCCAGGCTGACAAGAACACGAGCCATCTCACCTCCCTGCCAGAGGCCAGGCGTCACATCTGAGCTCAGAGAAGCCTCTTGGCTCAAGAGCTCCTGCAGCACTGCTAGCTGCTATCCCTCCATGCTGAGGTCAGACTTCTGACACGCCAAGCAGGGACATCTACTGTGATAAATGGCACAGGGGCTGGCGGGTCTGCCAGGAGAACATATGCTCTCAGCACCTGCTAGGAACAGATCTCTTCGCTGGATTCCGTGGCTCAGAGCTGGAGCGCAGCAACCACGTCTCACAGCTCCCCGTGGGGAACGAAGGGATGAGCACCCAGTGTGCTCTCAGGGAGAACACCGAGTTCCCATCCATGGGAGCTGTGCTGCAGCAGAGAACAACGCTACCCAGAAGGGACTGCAGCATCCTACGTGCGTGTAAAGGAAGCCCCAAACTGACGACATCTTGCACTGCAAGGCAAAAGAGGTTTGGTCTGTTTGCCACAGAAATGTCACAGTTTTTGGCAGTGCACAAACGCTGATCCGTGACAGACCACTGGAGATCAAACCTCACTCCCAGGATTCTTTAAAAACAAACCACCAAAACAAAACCAGAGAGGAGAAGATCTCTGTGGCTGGGCAGAGATCTAAGGAACTGCATAAGGCAGCTTAAGCTTCATCTGAAAGCTCATTCCTGCTCTGCCCTAGAGGAACATGCTGCAGAGTGGAGTGCTTGGTCTCTCTGACACATCAGAAGAGCCTTTTCTGCAGCACTGCTGCCTCTGGATAAGATGGAGACAAGCTAACGCAGTCCTGTCTATCAGACACACTGTTACTGCCTTTAAGAGAAAACAAAAAGCTGCTCTCTCATTTCAATCTGTGTCTCAAGCCACTGCCGGACCATAGTTCTCATCTCTGGAGGTGACTGGAAGCCACCGTTTCATCTGATACAAAGCAGCCACACTGAACTTCTGCTGTGGAGGAGCCAGCTGGTGTGTTCCAGTCCTTCACATTTTATTACATCTACATCTTCAGCGCCCACATCGTGCATTTGTCAGAAATCACAGGGCAAATGGCAATAGCAAAGAAAATCACGAGTGAAAGAAGGTGCTGGTCGCACTTTGCCAGTGCAAAGCTCTCTCAGGAACGTAAACCTACACACACGGGAAGAACTGCACTGGAAAAGAGGGACAGATCCAAGCCGTGCCAGGGAGCCAGACCATTAAATGTGACCCTGCTCTTTTAGAAAGCAGAACAGCTCTGCTTGAGTCCTCCTCCAAATCCATTCTCCCCTCCTGCACACAGTGAGGCTCTGCTGCACCTCCCTCCAGACAGGAGGACGCTGCTTCCCATCCAGCGCCCGTCAGGAAGTTCTGCTGTGCCATCTCACGTCTCCTGTCATCCTTTTACACCACCTACTACTCCCTGGTGACAGAAGGGATCCCGTAGGCTTACCTAAATTCCACCGGGGGTGGAGGCAGGCTGTCATCTGGGAACGAAGGAGGTGGAGGCACAATAGAGTCAGTCTGCGGCGGCGGCGGGTAGCAGTTCACCTCCATGCTTTCATTGGAGCCAATGCTGCCGTTCTGATACACCATGTTAGAGGGGTACCTGAGAGAGGAAGGCGAGCGCTGTGTTTAAAGAGTTCAAAGCAACGTCTCAAACTCATTTTCCCCCTCGCTCACGAGAGCATCGCCTCTCAGAAGGGCTGCAGCATCACAGCTGTGCGGCGGTGGCACCAGTAATATTAACCAAGTAGATGGATCAACCTGCAAGGCTCAGAAATTAGGTTTCCTGGCAGGAAGGCTTTTCCCAGCACAGCTGGACCTGCCTCGAGGTAGGACCTTATCAACCACCACAACAGGGCACAGGAAGCAAAACCTGAAAGCAACAGTTAAAAACAAGAAGTCTATTTCTCAAAGCATGCTATATGAAGGATCACGTGCCTAGGATCAGTTTACTCTGTGTAATCCTTTTGCTGGATACCCTCCTGCTCGGTCACTGCTACCATGTATCAGAACATGATTATGTATTTTAGCCAACAACAAGAAAACCAAAAATATTTTTGAAGTATTTGATGATAGAAAAAAATAAGAGAGTGCATTTTGAGCAAGCTGGCCTCGAAAGGCTCTGAGCTACACTGGGTGTCATCAGTGACAAAAAGAAGAGCTACTGAAAAGATATGGCATGCCATTAAAAGCAAGCATCCCAACTGAAGCACTGCTCAGTGCAGCTGTTCAGGTGTCAGTGGGCTCATCTCACCGTGGGGCGAGGTGCTGCAACTGCTCCTCAGAAGCATTCAAACGCATGCACGCACTGATGCCAGAAAGCAGAGGAGCAGGGAAAGGTGCTGTTGTGCTGCTCGATTCCTCTGCTAGAAACCAAACCTGTCCTCCTATTAAACTAAGAGCAAGTTTTATTTTTAGCTGGAGAGTGTGATTTAAAGAGAGATTTTTCTTGTATGAAAGGAAGCTGCGAGGAGCAAGCAAGAGAGAGGTGCATTGTGGGGAATTCAGTCTGCTTCCAGCCTAGCTGGTGTCAAAAGTTAAATGAATTCCCAAGCCAAAAGCACTAAAGAGAGATCTGTAGCTTGGAACACTTGGATGGGAGCTGCCCCCGCTCCAACTTCAGGGCGTGAAGAGCCGCTTGTGAGATCGAACAGAGCCATCACAGCACCAGCAGGCGCCACCCTGCTCCTCAGCCCCAGAGCTCGGGGGGACGGGAAGGGCACGGCCAGGGCTGCGCAGCCACAGCCTCTGTTCCGAGCCCACGAGGCAGGCAGACGGAGCAGCCGTGCTGCTGAGGCTGTTGCTGCCACCTTGTTCAAGCCGTGTGGCTCCCTGATTTATTTAGCAAATTCTAAATCCGCAGATGGATTTACTTTGGAGAATCTGATTAGTGGCAGTATCGATCCGCACTGTGCAGCAGATCTGGAGAAGCTGCAGAGCAGGGTGAACTGCATTACAATCACCACCACCTGCCCGCTACCCCTTGCTGGGGAGCAGAGCGGAGCCCTGGACTTGCTTACCCAGCAGGACCGTGTTTGTCCTTTATCTCAACAAATTCTTGCCCCATTTTCAGTTTCTCCCACTCTTCTTTTCGGGTTTTGATTTTCCGTGGGTTCACGTTTCCTCGGTTCGGATTCTCCTTTTTCTCTTTCTACGGGAGGAAAGGAAAGGGAGGAGGAATCAAACAAAAGCCTTATTTTGCTTTAAACTCCCTGGGAACAGGAAGGGATGGGACAGACCTGCAGCAGTTTCAAGCAAGCACATTCTCTGAGAGGGCCAAGATTTGTCACTCATTTTCCCGACTGCTGAAAGCTCCAACGTCCTCCCAGACAAAGAAGATGGAGCAGAGAGAGCAGCAAAAGACACCACCCAGCTTCCTCAGCATGACGTCAGGGCCACAGCCTGGCACCACCACCTCAGGGGCAGTGAGAGCTCCATTTCCCCTCATCAATTCTGCTCTTGGCCTGCGTGTCAAGGCTGCCAAAGCCCACCACCGCCTCGCTGGTGTTAACGCTCGGGGTGTGCAGCCTCGTTTTCTGTGTTCTGACTCGTCCTAGCTCCTTCCTTTGTCACTCTGACACGGAAAGAGCTGCATCTGTTTTGATATTTGGGACTTTGGCTGCTGGAAAGCTAAATGAAGCATGCTCAAACTGAGGCTTTTATGGCGTCGCTTTCAGCATTGGTTCAAATCCCCCACTAACCAAATCAGGAGCTTCACCTGGTGCTTTCAGCCTACATGGCTTTGCTAAGCCTCCTGATGGCCGCTCATTGAACATCATGGCCTCTTCTGGCACTCCTGAAGGTTTTCTCCTTTGTTTTTTGACTCCTCCACAATAGATTCTATTGCAGCACAGGCAAAGCGTGGCGCTGGGGCAGAGGGGCTGGCGCTGCTTCAACACCCAGCAGACCCCCGTGCAGCACCACAACACAGACAAGACTGACACAGCCCTGCTCTGCTGACTGCATCAGCGCTGTCTGAAGACAAATTAAACCCTTCTAACAACACAAAGAAGATGGCATTTGGAAAAACAGATTAAGGGTATCCTTGTTGTCTTCTTTTTAATTAACAGCGATGAGAGTAAAGCAGATCAAAACTTCTCTGAATTGATCCCCGAAGAGCTTAAGAGAGTAAACCTCAATTTTGGATAGCAACTTTGGAGCCCGCAGTTCATTAACGCTTTCCACCTCCTCTCCCACCCTGACGTGCTGCTGAAATGGCAGCGATCTCCCATTTCTCACCCTGTGCTTCCGCTTCTCTTTCATAATATCCTTGGTGTCCTGAAGCATTTTCTCTTTCCAAAGGTCAAAGAAATAGGAAGGATCCGTGTAGAATTTAAGTGCCTCCTTGCCATCGTCCCTAGAACGGGGAGGAGAAAACGCACACATCAAGAGGCCAAGTCATGCAACTGTTTGCAGCCCAAAGAAAATAAAAGCCACCAGCCCAGGCAGCAGATTAAAAGTCTGCAATCAGAAGGTCAAACGCTCTGCTCTCGCCTCTGTCCTCCATTTAAAACCAGGCAGCAGACCCACAGCAGCCGCCGCTCGTCCCAGCACTCCCACCTGCCATCTCTTCCACCCTCACACAAACTCTGCATTTCAGCACCTGAAGAACTCGGCTGCTCTGAGCAATCACCAGGAGAGCAGCAGGTCTCTCACTCCAACTCCCACTTGTTTGTGTTGTGTTTTTGGTGTGAAAAAATCTCCTCCAGCCCGGGAACCCTAAATCAGAGCGGCAGCGTCCTTGAAACTCGTGTGTGTGCACACACTCACTCTCCTACTTTGCAGTGCAGCCGCGTCTGGCAGAAGACAGCTGCCTCCAGCTATCTGTAATTACTTTTTACCTGTTCAAAAGATATTTATGGATGTGGGCTCAGTCTCTGTGTTCTGACCCCCTTACTTCTGCCACGGACAAGATGAAATGGCACGGCAGGACCGCTCGGGAGAAGGGCTCACAAAGCCCACCTAGGTCACATCAGAGGTCTCAGGCCAGGCATGGGAGGCCATGGGAAGCATCTCCAGACCTACAGGAGCCTGCTGCACCCACCTGGGTGAGAGCCACACACAGATGGATGCTCTGCAGTTTGCACTGCGGCTTTCTGGAAAGAAGCCACGGGGCTACAGTGAAGCACAAGAAAAATGCATCATCTGCACAACACCTAGCATGTTTATGCAGTGCAAGCCAAGCCTTGCCCCAAGGCAGTCACAAAAGTGACAGCAGGTAACCAAACGTATAATTCTCTAGCTATGCTCATTTGTACAGCCTCAAAAGCAAAGTTTCATGTAATCCAAAGGATGGAGATTTCCTGGCGGATCTCCAAATCTATTTCCAATTAAGGATGGCTACTTCAATACAGCAGGGGATGGGAAATGACCTCAGCTGTTTGGGAGGAAGAAGCTTCCTCTGTCAGGGAACAAACGCCTATGGAGGTGCTGTGGTGTTACCTATAAGGGGAAAGAATGTTGAGAGGTGGAGGAGTATTGCAGGTCCCATAGGTTTCGAGGACAGGCACCGGCAGAGAATCTCTGTCGAAGAGCTTCTGGTCCTGAGTAGTGGAGCTTTTGAAGGCCTTCCTGGTGTTAATGCCCTGCAGGGAGACTGTAAGAAAGAGAGAAGAGCAAGTGAAGAGCAGCTTGACCCAGGCCAACGGCACTGAGGATCAAGCAGCAACCATCTGACTTCAGCTGGAGTTGTTGGCGTGCTTAGCCTCCTTCAGCTCAGGTTCTTTTCCCACAGATCTCTTGGGAAGCCCAGCAAGTCTCAGGCCGTGCTGTGACAAGATCTGCTGCTGTACAGACGTGGCTTGAGAGCTGCTGTGTGGTTTCAAACCCCTGCAACCAAGACTTGGGAAATCTACGGTACCCAAGTGCTGAAGGACGAGCTGCCACACACAGATCTGCTAACAAGCAAATCTCTCCTCGGCCAGATGGACGCCCATGTGGCAGCACTGGGCCTTTTTGGGAGGAGTGGAACAGTCCCCCTCAGTCCAAGGGAAGACATTTGAACACCAGTCACAGCACCAGGCTCACCGTGGGGCCACGGCTCAGCCACGCTCAGAGAGAACCTTTACTAAGCTCTGTCTGCAGGGACTGTGCTGCACTCCATTACCTTCCTCCTCTTTGGGATCCAGCTGAGTGACTTTGACTTGCAAGCGGTCAACTCTCTCGACAAGAACGCTCACCCGGGAGGCAAAAGTGTTGGCTTGAGTAAACAACTCTCCAAATATGTCTTCTGCAAATTTACCTGCAACGTTAAAGCGACTACGTTACCCTCATGAGCTGCACCAAACCACATGCAAACCTGCAGAAAGAAAGAAGGATGAACCGCGCTTCTTTTCGGGTCTGCCAGGGTTGGGTGCAACATCCAGGAGGACAACGCTGCCTTCCACCAAAACCTGGCACTTCTGGGGGATCTTCAGGCCATGAAGAAACAACTGAGACATACTTTCAAGTCAGTGTTAAAGTAATGAAAAAGAGGGCTGACAACGTAACAGTGGTCTGAATCCAGATGGGTCTGTAGGTCCTTTAAGATTCACTGCTGTTCTGTTTATTAGACAAGACAACACAGACTTTTATTGCTCTGGAGAAGCTCAAAGGCTCCTGGTCTCCAGCAGGCCTGCCTCCAGGGTAACTGGCACATATTTACAAGCTCAAAGAGCTCTGCAAGCAGAGAGCAGACCCAGTCCTTGATCCTAAAGCCTGAGCTATAACCACAGACAAAAGCACTGACCCTTTTGTTCCTTCAGGTGGCAGTGTCTGAAAAATTGATGCATTCACGTTTATTCTAAATCAAAACCAAAAGGGAACTTCTCCAACAGGAATGTTCTCTCTGTAACAGCTTGGGTTGCCCAGTGGGCTGTGATGACAAACATCATCCATCGTTTGGATGGTGAGAGCGCCTTGGGGCTTGGATCAGAAGCTTGCTGCACCACTTACAAGCCTAACAAAAAGACGTCCCCTGTCCTTAAGAGTTTAAAATCTACATATACAGGGAGAGATGACCACAGGTGGACAGAGATGGGTGAACTGAAAGAAAAAGAAGCTAAAAGGAGCATCGTCCTTAAAGCTCCGCTCTCCAGCATTACCTCAAAGTGGGCAGACCCCAGATAACCATGCAGAGGACAGCACTGACGGGAACAGACGGGGCACTGACAGCAGCCAGGCCCACTGAGTTTCCACTGATGGGAAACATTTCCAGCCACGGCTGCTGAGCACGAGGCTGCTCCCAACCAGCCGTCTGGTTCTGTGAGCACAGCATCGTATGGTCAGCAGTTTGTTCTGGAATCTGTTACTCCCAGAGATCCTCTCCGACATTCAGGAAAGGATAAGCAGTGAGAAGCCAGACGTTACCAGCAATGTTGGAAAACGTGGCTGGCTGCAAGGAGTCACACAGGAAAGATCCCCTCCTATGAAGCACGGCAATGGCAGCCACCAGTGCCTGTGCAAAGCCTCCCAGCAGGGCTGAGCTGACACCCATACCGGAGGTTGCTCCTTCCTCCCTGTTATCAGTGACTCGTTCTCAATGCCACGCAGTTCTCCTTACGCCGCCAAGCACGGAGAACAAGGCAGGTTAAAAATCAACCTCCTCCACCCCTCCTGGTGGCAGTGCCAGCTTCAAGTGCCTGCAGAAGGCAAATGCTGGATGTGAACTTCAGCTGACCTCCTCCCTCGGCTCTCCTGGACAGCACTGACTCCACATATGCTCTGCTAACAAGCCCAGCTCTCCCCAGTCTCCTGGGGAGGACTGCAGCCCTGGAGACCCAAGGGTGGATAGCTGTGACTGCAGCCAGGTGCCACAAGGCACGCTGTGCTCACCACCAGCACCAGCTCTCCTGTTTGACCAAAGGAAGTGAACACTTATCTCCATGATAATTTGTTGCCCCTCCCAGCAATAGCTCATAAAGTTGTAATTCGGTTCTGTGTTCAGGAGAACTGAGAATCATTTCCAAATTTCACAAGGAACTCCAACCAGTAGAAGGGAAGATACCAAGTCTTTGGTTGCAGCGCTGAGTGGCACGTCAAGCATGAAATAACACAAAGAGCATTGCATGTGGTGTCCTTAACTCTGCCAGCAGGGATGGTCTGTGCTCCTTCACCTGTGTGAGTGCAGCAGTCCTGAGTCCACATTCAGGATCTTGCATGCACCTTGGTGCTCCACGTGCAGTTTCAGATGGGGTAAGGCAGAGATTAATTTTTGGTTTAGTTACTTTGACTGCCGCCAAAGTGCAACTCACCATCAGAATTACCTTTGTCATGCACTGGCAGGAAGACAGACAGTGTGATTCAATAGGTCTCTCCACCTTTAGCTCGTGGATTCTATAGCACAGCCAGCTTACACAGAGAGCTACCAGCTGTGATAGTAACGAAGGGTAAACTCACTGGAATATGAAAGTTTGACAAGATTTATGTTTGCATCTTTGTAAAGAGACTGTGGTGCACTAGGCATGGCTGATTATTCACTTGACAGAGCTGTCACAGCCTACTGAACCTGCTTCGCATTCCTGCAACGCTCAGCGTGCGAAGTAGGAGTGGATTTGTTCCTCCAAAGTAAGAGAGGTAAAGGAGGGAGGCAGCACTTTGGTCACCTGGGTGTGAGTGCTCTGCAGCAGCGAGTCTAAATGGCTTCATTTAAAACACTGCTGACCCCAGGGATGCGGATAAGGGATGGTGCTCATCATCCCCCCTGCATGCCCTGCTCCCCCTCGTGCAGGGAGGCACGCAGGGTCAGCTGGAGCCATCTCTCCTCCAGGTACCCGGCTGCACCACGCAGACGTCCCAGGGCACCTTCCAGGAAAGGAGCCCAGCTGCAAGTTGGCTCCCTGTGCTTTGCTGCCTCCGCTGAGGCAGACACAGAGAAGCTTTGAATATCTGAGCTGTGCAAAGACAGCCTAAATCTGCAGGATCTCACCAGGGCTCTGTCACACTAACCCGCCGCATGCCTTTGGACTGGGATTAGCTTTCTGTGCAGCTGAGATCTGCACAGCTTTACTGCCTCCTTCCTCCTCATTTCACATGCACGAGATGGATTTTCCTCGCATTCCACAACCCTCTTGGCTACCAGACCCACCAAATTACCAACAAGGTGAGCGGATGCACAGGTCCTGCCAGTGCAGTGACATTTCCACAGCCCAAAACAGAACGTGGCACCGACTGGCAGCCATCACAGGCCCCGATTTCAGTGGCAGCCACGGTTTTCACTGCTGGAAAGAGGCTGTAGCTGAGGTTCCTGCCACATTAGGCAAGGAGCTTACTTTGCAGAGCAAGCAGAAGCGCTCGCAGACACCACCGCTAAGCTCAACAATATATTAGTTTGATTCTCAAAGACTTGCTTCAAGGGTAAAGGTGGCTAATCAGAAGCCAGAGCATTTCAAGGGAGTACGGAGCCATCCCACAGAGACCACAATTAACTCTTCACTCCTCCCATGGCACGCAGGCCCACGTTTTCCCCCGGCCTTTCCAAGGCTATGGGGCAGCCCACCGGAGAGCTGAGCTTGGTGCTGCCGTCTGAGCGAGCAGCCCTTTGGTCTGCTGGAGCCCCCAGTGCTCCAAAGGCAATGCCTGGGGACTTTGGGTCTTGCAAGGTAGCAAACAGCAGGGGCAAACAGGCTGCTTCTGCACGGGCACTTTAATTATCTTTCATTAAAAAGAAGACTACTTACACGCCACAGCTTCGGCGCAGTCAAGCTCCATTTAGTAGCGCACGCAATTAGAGGCACATTCTCTGACACAAGATCCTGGCTGCTCTGAGAGCCTCCCATTTTACAAGCCTGAGTTGTGCTCCATCCTTCCATCTGCAGCTTCGCCGCAGCCTCGCACACACGCACGCACACACATGCGCACACCCCCTCCCCGGTTTCTCCTAGATGGGGAAGGCAGTGGGACCAGGGATATGAAATTAGCATCGGATTTCGTTAGGAAAACATTTTAGCATTACCCGGGGAAGGCAGATGGGGGAGAAATAGGAACACAAGAGTAGAAAGGGAGCTAAATAAAGAGCACTAGCGACTCCTGAGGGCAACGCGCAGGCTCGCCATGGTACTCACTCAGGCTGCCCAGCTGTCGAATGACATTTGCCAGGGTGATGTTGGTCATGCATTCCAGCTCGCTTCGAACGCTAGGCAACGTCTGACGGCACAGGTGCCTTGGCTCAATGTTCCTCGTTACTAACGGCATGGTGGACCTGCTTCAGGCACTGTTCTGAAAGATGAAAAACAACCCAAAAAAGAAACAGGAAAGGATTACTCAACCGCAAATTCCAGGCACACCAGAGCCATGGTGTTCGTTTTTCCTGCTCTCAAATGGCTTTATTTATAAGCCTCCTTCCCCCCCCCCCCCCTTTTCCCCGACCTTATAATACTGGCTCTTCAGAAATAAAGATCCTGCTGTTCTGTGACTTGCAGTGACAGCAAAGTCCCACCGGCTCAGGTATGGAGGCAGCGATGGAAAACTACACAGCTTCACCCACACGCGAGGTGCTGCCCGCGTCGCCGCCGCCGCTGCTCCCTTCCTACCCATCCGCAGCCTCCTGCCTTCCCCGCTCACACACAGCATCTCAGCGAGCCTCAAAACCCTTCTTCAGGAATTTGTTAAACCCGAGAGCGAAGGCTTTGCTTCGACCAGAGGACGAGGGCAGGAGATGGGGGGGGAACAACGCGCGGCTCCTCCCGCGGCGGCACGGCGCGGCTCTGCTGAACAACAGGAAGCGCTCGCAGCTGACCAGGAAACTTTCTGCTGACTGTTCTTCATCCTGCAGGCTGCACCCAACGGCCCTCAGGAAATCCCCCAGGGCTGAGGTTTACACGGGCCATTGTTTTTTGTGCTGGGGCCGTTTAATGGTAAGGGAGCCCAAAGCGGGACAAAGAGCTTTCAGGAGCAGGTCAGCCCTTCCAAGGGACAAAACTCTCCTCTGCCAACAGGCTGAAGTGTCCAAGCAGCAAACATCCCCCTCGCAATGTCTGCCCCTGAGATGGAGGGGTGCCTTGCTAAGCACAGCTCGGAGCAAGCGGTGCCACAGGCCTGAAATCTTCCAAACTCAGAGAAAGCAAATACAGCCCAACTTTGTGATTAATTTAGAAGGGGAAAGAATCACTTTTCTAGGTCAGCTGAGGAGCAGCCCAAGAGAAGCAGCCAGCTCCCATGTGATAGGCATGCTGATCTGCCCGGGCCGGGTGTAAAAATAAAACAGGAAGCTAACAGCTTGGGGAACATGGCTTCCTGTCACCAACAGCAAAAACCCAAGAACCATAAAAAATCAGCTGTTTGCTCTTGACTTTGAGCCACCCTTTGATAGTCTCTGTGGCAGCTGGCAGCTTATCTTTGAGGTCCAGGAGTCCTTCCTGGATGCTTTTCTATCAGGGTGTTAAGAGGAAGAAGTGGGCATTATCCCTCCTAATTACCTCACAAGCCAGATTTTGAATTGCTAAATGTGACCCATTAAGGCAGAGGAGTTGGAGTGCTGCAGCGCAGGGCTATCTCCTGGACAAGCAGATGGAGGATGCCATTTTGAGCCAGGGCCGGCGTGCGCACAGCCCTGCACCAGGGACAGGGCCCCAAAAGCATAAACCTGGGAGCAGAAGGGAGCAGGGTTTGCCTCCAGGTAAATAAAAGCTGTGCTTCTCCAAGGACTGAGGTCTGTGCTGCTCTTCGCCGTGTCCAAGCGCTGCAGCAGCCGCTGTAACTGCTGAGATATTTAAAGAACAGGGTGAACCAAGGAAGGACTCTGACCTTCGCTTCCAAACACCCCGTGTTTTATTGATTACAGCCCAAGCCCTGCAATCTTTTGCCAGCTTTAGCGCTTTAAGCCAGACAAACTTTCCCAGCTCCCCCCAGACTGCAGTCTGCAGCTCTCATAAACAAGGCAGCATTTGCAGGCTGCCTGCATCGAGCTTCTCCCTCGTGCTCCCCAGGGCTCGGTGGGATCTGCAGAGCTGGGACAGACACCGAGCCTGGGCTGTAAGGGAGAGAGATGCGAGCGTGCATATGGAATAAAGGGAAATAAAATAAACCAGCACCAACAGAAACCACCCACAAAAGATGATAGCTGTGCTGGGTCAGAGAGAAGCGCTCCTCTCTGCATGTATATAAAGAAGAGGGCAGAAATGCAGAGTAACACCGCCAAATACCCCTGCAGAAAGACCAGCCTCAAGGACGCCCATAGCTACACCTTGTCTATTCTTTCCCTACCCCCAGAGCGTTTGGTTTCAAAGCCTGTTCTGCAACTAAAGGCAAAGAGTAGCGGTGCAAACCGCCTCTTTACAACTGCACTGCACAACTACAGCACGAATCTGCACCAGTGCAAGACAGCCAGCAGCGATAAGGGCTAAGAAAAACACTCCCTTTATAGCCTGGCTCATCCTGGCAGCCACCCCCACCCTCCCAGCACAGCCTGCCACACTCCACTGCAGAATCAAGAGTTTCGCCCTTGTGATGGCTCCGACAGCACAGCAGTGCTGCTTCTTCCCAAGGCAACGGGGCCGGCCCTGCTGCCCCCAACCCCAGCCAGGAGCTGGCAAGCAGCAGTGAGACGTGAAGGCATTAACCCTGCCGAGCACTGGAGATGAGGAGGCAGGAAGGACGGGATGGCAGCAGGCACACAGCCCTGTGCTCCTGCAGCAGCGCTGGGACAAGGCACTGAAAGCAACGCTCCACCTCCCCTCAGCTTTGAGATTTCAGGTGTTTTCACAGCATGGAGAGAGGAAAGCTGGGACCTGCAGAGCCCAGCAATAAGAGCAGTGCCCCCGCAAGAAGGAGCTTCCCTGGAGGACCTCCTTTTTCCCCATCCCCTTTGGTGGGAAGGTATAGAGATAACAGCTAATGGGCTCCTGTAAAACCTTCATGCCTCATGAGTAGGTGGGACAAAGATTAATAGTCTGGATTGGAAAATAAGTGGTGTGTTTTGAAAGCAGCAGCCGGGAGGGGCAGGAAATAAAGCATGGAGAAGGGAGAGCGTCTGAGAGCAGAGGGAGAAGGAGGAAGCAAAATGCTGGAGACAGCACGAGGTGAGCAGCTGGGGGCAGGGGAGGGACGCAGAAACGAAACAAGGAAGGGACAGACAGAAAAAAAGCTTTCCAGGAGGTTCTTGCTTTTATTCTTTAAGAGAGTCATTAAGAAACTGATTGACAGCACGCTACCAGCAAGGGCCATCCAGAGCTGCTTTCCTTTCCATAGTCAGGGCATGACAGCACAGCAGTTTTCCACCCCAGCTAGCCAGAGTGGTCATCAGGCATTAGTCGCTGTCACGTAACCACAGCAGACCATATATTATAACTAAATCCTGCCATTCAGAAGCAAGTTAAATGAATTGTGAGGCCAAAATTAAAATTAAAAAAAAATAAAGCCAACCCTTATCTTTTGGGCAAAGAGAAGCATTTCCACTTGCTCATTAATCTGAAGATCTGACTTGCTGTAATGCCAGTTTGGGGTGCATGCGCTGCAGGGGGCACAGAGCACCTCCCCAACCTTGCTGCAAGCAGGGAGGACACAGAGTATGGTAAAAGCAAAGTGCCTCTATGAAACTTGACTGTCTGCAACAGATTTGTAACGAATACAGAGGAAAAAAAGCAAGGCATCAAACTGAAAGCAGCTCGAGCTGTGAGTGGGGAAGCGGGGCGTTCTTTGCTGGTTGGAGAGTGGAAGGGAATCGCTGCTCCTGTGCCAACCCCACCAACGTCGTGGCATGCAGAGATGCTCAGGACGCCCGTCCTGCTACCTGCCGTGCTGCACACCTTCTCAGGAACAAGGAGGAAGGGTTTGCCTCAAGTGAACCAATGTTTTTCTCTCCCTCTCTTGCAGCAGAACATCCCTACCTGCTCCAGGCAAGCATTTCTTCTCCAGTCTCTGAGCCACGGCCTGAATCACAGAAGGCTCCAAGCTTTGTTATGACAGCAGAGACTAAAAGCCAAGGCACCCAGAGCCCAGCTTTCCCCATGGCCTCCCCCCATGTCCAGCAGGGCGCTGCCAGCATTCCTCATCCTTTCCCCTCTCTCCCAAAGCGCTTACACACACATTGCTGAGCGCCGCGCTGCTCACAGCCCTAAGCCAGCCCGGAAAGTTTGCTGAGCACGACAAAAGCTGTGCAAGGCAAGAACCCCATCCTACATTCCTAGCAATCCTCCAGCCACAACCGGCACCTCGCCATCCTTCCCTCAGCACCTGTGCTGCACTGCATGCACCAAGCTCAGACTCTTTGCACTGCTGCAGGAAAGCGGGCTTTGCGCACGCTGCTGCCCATCCGAGTCCCTGCACCCAGCACAGCACGCAGGAACGCCTCGCTCACCACATTTTAACACCTCACACCCCACATTTTAAGTGCATTCTGACTGTGGCAGTCATTCCTGCAAACACTTTTGGGTGCTGGGGAACAAGGGTGGCCAAGCACAGGCCGGGAAAGGGAAAACAAGACCACAGCGTGCATTTTCTGCTTCTCCTAATGCAGCACTTTGAGGGAAGCACAAGGTACATTTAAGACAAGCACGTTGCTGTAGGGTTTCTCATTGACTGCTCTCCCCAGGAGCTCTGCTGTAGCGGATCACACAGGAATCCTGGTTCTGGATTAGAATCAAGCACAATTGGTTTGCTTCACACACGAGCCGCCGCTCTATAGAGCCCTCACACAAAGCCACGTCTTATTGACTATTTTTAATAAAGAGGGCTGGCACAGTCAAATTGGAGCATTGTTACAAACAATAAAGGAGACAGACTTTGATTACAAGTATTGGGGAGCAGTGCAGGGATGTTTTAGGATTGAGCATTAGCTTTCCAACGCGAGTTCTGTCAACTGAAAACAGCAACTCGGAGCAAATAGTCCTTAACAAGCAGTTTGGAGACGAGCAGAAAACAGCACTGCACAGCAAGAGAGGAGCTGCTTTCTGCATCTAGCACAGGCAGCACAGCAGTGCGGGGAAGGCAGGCAGGGCTGCAAGGTGAGATGTGTGTGCAGTGCACACAAAGAGCTGTAAATAACAGCCCAGCTCGACACGGAGACCTGGCAAGGTTCTTCTTGCCGGTATCTGACCGGCTAGCATAGCATTAGTGGGAGTCACCTGGGTAATTCCCTGCTCAATGTGACACACCACCTCTCAGATCAGGGACCATCTGCAAATAAATCTGGACCCCGGCAGTGAGATCATCTGTCACAGTGTCTGGTGCGGCACAAAGCACCTAGGGAGGACAGAACCCATTTTTAGGGAAGGGGAGGAAGATGGAGCTCGATGTTTTGGGTCCGTGGGGGGGAGCAGCCACCGTGCACACAGCAGGGCTCACAACACCACAGCCAGGACACGAGCAGGCAGCGAGGGCAAGCATAGCAAGAGCCTTGGAGAGAGCCTTCCGGAGTGCCATGGGGGGACGAGCTGCAGCAGCAGGCTTGGGAATGAGGGAGGAAGGAGATAATCAGATCTGAAATTCCCATCAGTATGAAATGAGACTTAACTCAGGAGCTTGCCAACGCAGACTGACTGTTCTTTCTAATGTCTGTGAC